CCTCAAAGGCCTGTGATGAGGGGACAGCAGCCCCTCCTCTTCCTCCATCATGAATCACTCGGCTGCTGCTCGTCGACACATGAAGGACCGCTGGAAAAGAGCTGTGAGATCACATGACTGTGCCTAACCTTTGTTTCACTCGTGTTCACCAACAAACCGCTTTACATTCATCGACTTAACTTCAACACACGTCTGCGTTAATCATTGTAATTCATCAGATGATCTCAGACGTCTTCATCACTCACGTAGCTTCATCAGGTTCTGGTTTCATGTTCTTCGGCCTCCTTTCGGTGCGACGGAGGTGAGTGGGGATTCATTTGTGACGCTCAAGGAAGTGAAATTTAACATTTTTTAAATTCAGCAGCGACATCTTATTCCTTTAAAACATGAAAACATGAGTTCCTCTGGATGATCCACAGACCGGCTGTGAACCATCTGAGATCTGAGAATCCAGCTGACATGAATCGTACATATCTGCTCTGTAAATCACACGACCCATGTAAGAACTGATTCATACGTCATGTTGTTTGTTGTCATGATGTCGCTCCGATCACCAAACAAACCTTTTTCTTGCTTTTTAATAATGAAAAAAACACGAACAATAAACTTCTAAAAGAAAACAGCGACATTATTTTAAACTGAAAACATAACGACGATGTGATATCAGTGAAACATTTGTTCTGCCGACACACACTGAACTCAGAGAACGAGGTCATTGTGTTTGTGAGCTTCTAGATCAGAAAACATGATCCATCGTGATGCTGCGTCCTCACGTCCTCTTGTATCTGCTGTGCAAAGGATTGTGGGTCAGAAAAGTCGGCTGGGTTTCATTCTGCAAAACGTGACCGGATGTCGTAGAACATGCTGGTACTTTCAGCCGTATTACGTCTGACATCCAGTGTACTGAGACACACGTTCTGGAGTACTGAATAGTTTGGTAGTATTTGTACCTTTGAGAAGATGCTCCATGTTGTTCTCACCAACCAATCAGAGCACAGGAGGGGGTCTTAAAGAGACAGTGTCTCAGGTGAATACAGGTATATTCTGATATAGTGTGAGAACAATGTGTTTTTAATATTAAAGCATGTAAACATGTTCTAGTAGGAACCAAAAACATACAAGTATGAACCTTAAAATGAGCGTCTGCTTTAATATCGTAGCTAATTAAATGGAAGCTGCTTTGCAGGACGTCAGGAGGACGGAGTGACGGGACGTTTGTTCTTGTCATCGTGGTGAACTGACCCTTTAAACAGCCGGGATGAATACATAAGCTTGTCTGCCTCAGTCGTCCCAGCCGGGAGTTATTACGAATAGTTTGACCCTCCCTGGAACTTTTTCTAAAGTATGGAAACATTTGCATCAGCATCTGTTTGGCAGAATAGTCCCTCGGTCTGACCCCTTCAGCTTTAACTAATCTCACTCGGCTCCCCTTGTGGATTAATGCCGTGTCATTGGAGAAGAGCTAATCATATCAGCTGTGGGTTTACCTGAAGACGGACAACAATCTCTCCTCAGTAAGAACTGAACACCTTTACCCACCGAGTATCATCATATCAATAACAATAGGTCATTATTGTACTGTTGGCTAGTATGGATCTGTGTTACATTGCTGATGGCCTACATCCACAAAGCTGAAGCTCGTGTTTCTTTGGAGACCCGTGGAACTAATCTGTAAATCAGTTCATCTCACCGACAGAAAACAGAGATGACGTCGTTTCATCAGCGCAGCCTCAAACTGCTCGTCTTATTGGTCTGGAAGTTGTTTCTCTCTGTCTCTGCATCCTTTTTACAATAAAAGTGTTTTTTATCCTCACCCTGTGTTTCCACGCTGCAGCTCAGTTCTAATGCTCCACCGTCGGACACAAGGTGGAGACAAACATGCTTGTGTTCTGGAGCGGTGACGTGGTCGGAGTCGGTGCTTGTTGTGCTGAATAACAGACGATGTGATGCTACAGAAGACGTGTTACTGTTTCCTCAGATGACCCTTTCATGTTTCTTTTATATAAATCATAACTGAAGTTATCTGAAGACACTTTTCATAAAGAGCAGGTCTGCACCGTACCACCAGCTCCATAACGAAAAAGCTTTTCACAGTTTGGTGTTGGAGAACTTGACTGAGCTGCACACAGTCCTGACCTCGTCCCCATTAATTCAATTCAAGTTGTTTATGTAACCAAACATCACGGATGTGCCTCAGAGGGCTTTAGGATGTGTGCAGCAGACTACAGATACAGCTATTGTAAGAAGGTCAGATTTAGACCAGAGACAACAGCACCAGCTAGACCTTTTCAAAATAAAAGGAAGTCGTTAAACGTTATGACCTCTGAGGTATTGTCATCACACAAAGCCTGTGTATTGACGTTCCATTGTTCAGGCCTTGTGCGAGCCTGAGATGGTCTGAACTGGCGTCTTTGTGAAGTCCCTGAACCCTTCACACTGACGCTCTGCTTCTGAATGGACCGGCTCTGAGCACTAACTGCCCATCAGTGCTGTGTGGGAGTGGGCGACGCACAGACAGCAACATGAATGTCAGAGCGCCGCGCGGATGAATCACGGACGTGGATCTGAGGCGTGGATTGGCTGAGAGGACGATGGTGAGTAGGATGGTAATGAAGGCGAGATCAAATGCTGCTGAATGGATGCTTCAAGTGTGTGTGTGTGTGTGTGTGTGTGTGTGCGTGCGTGTGTGTGTGTGCGTGTGCACCCACTGCCCACCCAGATACTTGCCTACCTGACTACACCTCCACCGTGTACTGAATATACAAACAGGGAAATCACAAAGCTCAACTCTTATAATATATCTAAGACAGAGTCTCACGTCCTAAAGAACAAGTCCAAGTCGCATGACAAGTGTTCGAGTCTCTCAGGTCTACAGTTCCTGAGCACTTACTTGATACCGAAATGTTTTTCTTTCCTTAAAGGTCTCGTGTGGAGGATGTGGCGCCATCTAGCGATGAGGTTTCAGATTGCAACCAACAGACTTCTCCGGATGCCAAGCGTCCAGGAGAACTACGGTGTCCGACGAGGGAACACCAATGGCCCGATCTAGAACCGGTGTTTGTTCTTTGTCTGTTCTGGGCTTCTGTAGAAACACGGCGGCCGGCTCCGTGAAGAGGACGCTCCGTTTGAAGATACAAACTCATTCTGAGGTAACGAAAACACAAGGATTCTTATTTTAAGATCATCTTGATGAACAAAACGTGAAAGTATCATCAATGTTTTTTTGCAGCAGAGTTTGTTTTCTGCAATAATCTAAAAGCAATGGAAGAATCACACTGGCTCAACAACAAGCCAGCTCCTGTTGGACGACAGAAGTACGTCATCAATGCGCCACAGCCCGGTCCATGTTTTCTGTTTGCTGACGTGGAGGCTGCGTTCACACCTCAGCAGGCCTTGCAGCGACAGAGCGCTTGGTTGTGCGGCAGCAGTGTCACTTATTGGCCCTCCAACACTCAGCGACGGCCTTTTGTTCCCTCGTGGCCTCGCTGTACAGGTCTAGATCTGAGGACACGTGATTGGCCACCGCAGAATGACGTCCGGTTGCGTTTCTCCAAAAAGACAAACTGAACATCAGTTTGAGTTCAAGTGCTTCAGGAGTGCTGACCTTTAAAATGAACCAGGATGTGAACATTTACATTTGTGTGAACTGTACATAAGTGAGACCTAAACCCTTTATTGCACAGACCGAATGGTTATATGTTCACGGCCTGTCGCTGTGTTTTCTATGTTTCGCTGGGTCTTTTAGGTTAAAATGTGAGACTTGAATCTTTGTGTTTTCCAGTTTCGACTCAAGTCTCAAGTCCTCATTGTTGTCTTAAGACCGACACGAGTCTCAAGCCCAAAGCTCTGCTTAATACTTAGACTAACAATCATTATCTTCATTCATTTGTGTTTTAATTCGACTTCGAGATGGATTGTCATCTCATAATGAAAACCTGCATTCAATTATAGAAACTAACTGCAGGGACTGAATCCCCACGGAGGAATAAATCCATAGCCTCTCTGAACGACGCTGTTTGCTCTCAAACATGCCGGGTTGGTTTTCATTAACTGTCTGCAGTTTGGTCTCTTCGGGTTTGTTTTAATCAGATGTGACAATAAAAACAAAACCGGTTTGGGTTCCACTTTATTATCCTCCCGGCTCAGCGGCCCTAAAATATCAAAATAGAATTGTGCAGCAGAATAGAAACAGGTGTGACTGGTCTTCTGTTATCTTCTGCTTTTAAAACAAGTCTCATTCCAAGGCCTTCAGATCGTGATGCGCTAAGATGTGTGGGATTCCCCAACCCACCATGTGGCTCCATCCCACTCATACCAACCAGAGCCCACTCAGCCAGAAGGAGTGGAGCCACACAAACTGAGCCGGTAAATAAACACACGAACACCAGTTCAGCTCTGTTCTCCAGCTATGTTAACTGGTCCACTGTCAACCCCATAAACAGTGCTATATGTGGTAAGTATACAGATACCACATTATTTAAAATAATACCAACCAAAAGCCAACACAGACACTGCAGGAGAATATCAGAACATCAGGAGAATATTCCAGAGATGTGCTGTTTGTGTCGGTATAATTGTTCTGAATCAGTATGTCGACTCTTCTGGTTCTGGTTCTGGATGGAGATGCTTGCTCCAGGTCTTCTCAATGGTTGTAGCGGAGGCGGAGGAGTGGGCAGCGCGTGACACAGCGGAGGAGGCGAGGCCTTTTTAAATGCTGTGCCGCGTTCACGGACTCACCGTAAAGTCCCACGTCACACTTGCTGATGTCTTTTGTTCAGGGTCACTTCGGGTTAATTGATGCAAGAGAAGCAGAAAGAAGGGCGGCAGAGGATAATACATAACTTATGTTAAGATTCAATTATTAAGAAAAAGCGATAAGACTCCAGAGTCTTTGGCATTTTTAGAATATTGTCCAGTCCTGAAATATGTACGTAATACCTGAATATGTGATGTCAGAGAGCACAGCTTGAATAAAAATGAAAAAACAAACTACATCGTCTCGCTTAGTGCTTGTATATTTATTTATTAATGTTGTACCTAACGTCTTTATTAAATACAAAATAAAACATTTCGGTTTCGTCCAAATGAAATGTACATTATTCCTCTACAGACAGTAGGACAGTGTCCTGTCATCAGTAGGACAGTAAGGACAGTGTCCCATCATGTGCCCTGGAGAGAGCAGAGTCAGACGCTGAACCCATGAGCAGGACGGGTAACTGCCCTCAAGCTCCAGTCTTCATGTGTGTCTTTGAATCAAACATTTGACTGGAAATACGCACCACTGAGCACAACTATCAACGTGACAGGATCTAAATCACACCCTGCTTTATTTCCTGAGCTCGAGGCCCTTATCACACAACACACCTGAGTCCAGGTCGTGTCCTAAAAACACAGGTTTTACATAAGTGTTAGAGGAATGGGGGGGAAGGTGATCATTGAACACCTTCTGATGATCTCAATGTGTCCTTCAGGACTAAACTGCTCAAGAAACACAATTTATTTCGCTTTTTTATTTTATTTTCCCTTTACCTTGATGGTTACATTTAAAAACACATATCTCACATTTTATCCCACGATTTAATCTTCAACTTAACTACCTGTTGTACAAAACATTTCAAATACCTAACGGAAGATGTCCTATGTCCTTTTTCGCCAGGATGCCACGGCTCATTTCCCACCGTCCTTGAAGGCAGCACCGCCCCTCTCCAAGTGAGTCCGCCTCTGCGCTCCAACCGAGAGGCACCGACCGCCTGGCTGCGTGGGGAGCCGGTGTGGGCGCAGCGGAGGACTTTCCTATAAAAGCAGGGATCCCACGACCAGCCGAGCTCGTCTCTCCGTCTATCCCGGAACAGCCGCGTCGTTTCGGGGAAACCTCAGCCTAAAAGGAACATCTTTCACTCTGTGGTTCTGACTGACGCTCCAACAAGGATGTCCCGGACCGACGAGGTGCACCGTATAACGGAGAATGTCTACAAGGTAAGACGGGACTGCTGCTTGTTTCCATGCCGCTTTCCACGCGTCCTCCTGCCGCGGAGGGACACTTGCTGCACCCGGTGGACGGCTGGTTGTTAGAGGACAGACAGTGGACAACTTTGACACAGTTCAGGACGGTCTGGTGTGAAGTGATTTCATGATAAAGACATACGACGCGTGGGTCAGTCTGAGCCTGAGGTGCATCCTGCTCATAGAGACTGATGTTGCGTTCCTTAAAGGTCGACGGGTCAATGATTTAGTCTAAGACATCAGAAATGTTATCAAAGCCTGTCACTAGTTATTAGAGCTAAAAGCATTGTTTCTATCTTTCCCAGTCTGACAAACCATCAACAAAGTGCAATTACAGCCATAAGAATGTTAAATGTGATCAAAGAACTGCTAATCCAATAGTTGGCAGTATGGACTAACCGATTGATTTTTAGCAGGAGTGAAATCTGTGTGAAAGCATCCAACCTGTCCTCCATCTGCTTTCTCTCTGCAGTATAATGGTGCGAGTGAGTCATGTAGATGTCATCGTGGCTGCGGGGCAGTTCAGTTTCAAGTTGCTCCACACATTGCAGAGGAGAAGCTGTCGCCATCGGTGGGGAGTTCTAATGCAAGCAGCTGAACTAGACATTATGTGTGAGGGGGTGCAGGTCATTAACCTAAAGAGGCTGGGGATCCTTAAAGGGGTCTGGTGGGACCCAGCAGTCTTCATTTGGGGGTCTTTATTCTCGGTAAAGACTTTATGTGGATGTTCTCAGCTGTGTTGTTGATTTATTGATGCCTTGAGAGGGAAATCATTGAGGAAGTGAAGGTGAACTGTAACTTTGCTATTGACCCCGTGCTGCTGCAAAAACCTCCAGTTAGTTTGCTGGACCCCAAATCTGAGATTCTGGGTTCAATGAGTCCAGAAGCAGTTCAGTGACTCGGGTCAGAAGAAGGAGAGAATGGAAATCTCCACATCGTCTGAACAGACCGACCAGCACTCGTTGAAACTTGAGAGGCTAAATGTGACAAACGCTCTGCTCCTCCATGTTGTTCCCACAACAGAGCTCCTCTTCAGCAGAGGAAGATGGAGGAGGAGGAGGAGGTGTTCCTCCTCAGTTTCACTGCTCTCAGGGCACCTCTCCAGGTGAGGTGGATTTCAGCAGCGGAAGCACGACAAGGGTTTTTCTTTATGTGAGGAAACTTGTCACCGTTCGACCCGCCTCCACAAGAGCACTCGGAGGAAAAACCACACCGCCTAAAAGCTACAGGAGGAGGTGCTGGAGGATGCAGGAGAAGAAGGGCTTACTGAGCCAAAGATGCATTTAGAGGAGGGCGGGTCAGCGAGAGTTCCTGTTCATAGTGTGGCAGAGACAGGATGGTGTCACTTAAGAATTTAGGCTGCAGAGGACACGATGTGAGTCATCTCAGTTTGTGGCCGACTTAAAGCTCCATGAAAGCACACAAACACCCTCACTTTGTCCCTGAAGACACTAATGAGGGATCAATGGTGCTCAAGGAGAAGGCGCCTAATGTTGTGACCTGTGGGAGGTTTCTTTGCATCATTAATAGCCGGAGTTGGAGAGAAACCGAGGAGGAGGAGGAGGAGGAGGAGGGACGGACAGAATGTGCTGGCACTGCACTGTATAAGGAGGACGTTTCTGTATTAAATTAATGATGAAGTGATTAGATGATTGGCAAAAGATGAATGGTGATGACATTTGAATCATAGATGAAGAACACAGGAGCATTGTGTTTCCAGCTCTGCTGTACATCATTATAAACTGGAGGATCTTTGGCTTCTGGACCGTCTCCAGTGAGGAGATGCTACCTGTGAGCTCTGATTGGCATTTTTCTATAACTAAAAGACAGACTAATGGATAAGAAAGCGTGACCATTAGTTGCCTCGGCGACAGGACTCCAGCGGTGGAATATGAAAATGCCACCATGCAGAAATGCAGCAGTGGGGTTTCTTCCTGTCATCAGCAGGCTGCATCATTACAGAGTCAGCAGGAGTGAGCAGAAGCAGAGCGCCGCTGCCAGCTTGACCCGCCGCTGGGCGCTGATTGCAGGAGGCTGATGCTCGCTGGTGCTGCAGTGGTGCCCCCCCCAGCCGATCTAATGGTTGTGTGCGCTATGTTCAAAGACACCAACAGGTCTTTATTAATTCATTAAAGGCGTGTGGGAGATGAAGAGGCCCAGAGGTGCCAGCTCCCATTAGACAACACTCTGTTCCTCCACCGAGGAGAGACGGCAAATGTCAGAGATTAAATGATGCAGCATCGAGATGGGGATCAGCAGCATCAATTAATGAACGTAATATCATAATGAAGTGTCAAGCAGAAAGTAGTCTGAGTGCATACCTCCACCAACACCACTCGGTCCATCAAAGCACGCGTATGAAGCTGATATTGGACTTACACACACCGTTTACCTCAATGCTGTCGGTAAATATCTGTTTTGTTTGTTTCCACGATGACACGTGAGTCAGCATCGTCTGTGCTACGACTGGAGAGCCTTTGTGTTTGAGGGTTTGTCAATAGATTTCATGTTTGAATCACAGGGAAGCTGCAGATGGTTAAACACAGAAGAGTGAGGTTTGATTATTCCCAGCTGGTTCTATGCAAACTGAGGATGATGACCTTTCCCTCCATCAGCACACACTTTGTTTGTTTTATTTGTGAGACGATTAGCTGCCAGAATACAATAACTCCAAATCAACAATGAAGGCTGAACCTCGCTGCTCTGCTGCTGAAACAAGAGATGCTCAGTGTCAGTTTTGGATGACTCACACTTGTTTGTGCGTGTGTGTGTGTGTGTGTGTGTTGCCTGTTAGTCAGAGACTACCGTTGAGTGGCCGGCACTGTATCTGGCTCTGTAACGCTACGTCACATCAGAAAAATGCAAATACCAAAGGGAGTTCAGCGTTGGATGTCAAGTGAGACGTCCCTCTGGATCTGCTGTGTTGAATGTGGGCAAACTGTGTTTCCTCAGGTTGTTGTGGCTGCTGAACGGGCACCATCTGTATGTGAGCGCTGTAATCCCAACAACGCTGCAGGCGCCGTTTGTTGAGAGGAGCTCGAGTGTCGGGGCGAGGCTGGCTTCAGATTGTGTTTGTTTGATGGTAGGAGTGGATGATCAGAGACTGATCAGCTGGTCAATTGATTGATTTTTCATGCTTTCTTCGTACTGTGTGTGTGTGTGTGTGTGTGTGTGTGTGTGTGTTCATGTTCTTCTACCCATCACGTCCTCCAGCTCCTCTCGGAGGATCTCGAGGCGTCGCAGGGCCAGATAGCATCAGGTGTAGTTGATATTAATATGGCACAGTCTGTTATGGTTTATGAAAACACGTTAGGGTTAGCAATATATACGTGTGTGTGTGTGTGTGTCGTACATTTTCTGAGACCTCAATGAAGAAGCTGCACATGAAATAACCATGTTTGTAGTTAATTCAGTGGATTAAATACAAAGTTGCATCAAATCAGTGCAAATCCTGTCAGTCCAACATCGCCGTAAAGCAGTCCTGCTTATTGATCATCATCTGAATTATCAACAACAATTGTGATTATCAGTTAACTGACAAGTTTTGATTGGACAAAACAAGACCTTTTGAAGATGGAAATGTCAGCGTAGGGTTAGGGTTGGGTGGTCTGGAGGAAATCAAATACCTCTATCGACGCTGTAGGGTCGACCACTGGTGCTTTCACACATATTTATCGTGGATAAATAATCATCAGTAATGTGGATATAATGACTAAGTGGTTAAAGGACCATAATAACGGCTCCATCAGTCAGGTCAGAAATGTACATCATGTCGCTGTAATGCAATCTTTAAAACCAAGAAAAGACAACAGGTCAGAGACCAGACCTCGTATGTCTCATGTCAGCATGTCAATGTCGTTGTAAACATACTGTTGGTGGCATCAGGCTTGTTTTCTGGGCAGTAACAGAGTCCCTATTGGACATTCAGCTGATGAAAGATCACTTTGCCTTATTGTTCAGAAGCAGCGTTATAAAAGGGCCACAGCATCGATCTCTTCTCTTCTCTTCTCTTGATGCTGTGTTAGTGTTTGTGTTGCTGTCACTGAGGGATCATCCTCTTGTGATTGGATCCACAAATCCCTCCGTAAATATTGTCATATCTCCAAGTCCACCCTCCACAAGGCACGAGGCTACGGCAGCGCTGACGTGAAGCCAAAACTATTTGTTCTCAGGGGAGGGATTTCTTTTCCTCCAATGTGTGGGGGCTGTGAGTAATGCTAGTGGACACTTTATCCACACACAAGTACAAGCTGCTCAGTTTTCCTCCTGAAGAGCATTTCTTCACCAATGTGGACAAAAACCAGAAGATTCCAGTCAACAATAGTCGTTTTCTCAAACATGCTGCAAAAAGACTCAGTTTATATAGTTTGTATCATGACCAGTGTTTCATCAGTATTCAGTTGGATTGTGATCTGGTATATTGCCGTCTTATCAGAGTTATCGTCTGCTGGTTGTGTGTTCTCGGACAGCTGTTGCTGCAGGTGAGAGGGGAGGGGAGGGGGGGGGGGGGATGAAGTGCAGCAGTGGATGGACGGAGAGTTTTTTTTTTAATCTTTATTTCTTCCCTCCTTCACACTATGAAAAGATGCCTTTGGTGTCATGTGCAGCCTCAGCACCGACCAGTGCAGGCTGAGCTGCTCTGTTCATGTCTGGGGTCATTTGAGGCTCTCGTGTGGACGGAAGCGTATTGAATCCAAACGCTCTGTTCAGGCAGGATTCCTCCAGTGTGATTGTTTCAAACCACAGATTTCTCCTCTCTGATTAGTCACGCATGCTTTCACCTCTGTTGTCTCTGTTCGGAGCTACATCGCTGGCTTTGTTCTTCTGTCCCTGCAGAATAATGTGCCTCCTCAAGCTCCGGGGCTTTGTTCTAGCTCTGTGCCTCGTTACCAAT